TAGTATAATGGCCAGAGGCAATGCCGAGTTTGAGGAGAGGTACTCTGGCACTGTGTCTCCTACCATTAATAGTGTGTGTTTTTATTTTTGTTGATGAGAGCAAGGGGGGGTGGGGGGAGAAACACCGATTTGCTGTTCCACTTTTTTATGTATGTGCCCTGACCAGAGATTGAACACACAACCTTGGTATATGGGGACGACACTCCAACCAATTGAGCTACTTGGACAGGGCTGCTCTCTTTCTTATCAATGGAATGTGGTAACATCTTAAATACACTGATTTTTTTTTTTTTACGGTTTAAACGAACACATACTGAAAAGTTTAAAGTGTTATATAAATGTAAGGCATTATCAGTATAAATATTGTGTGGCTGACTTAAAAACATCTTCTTCTTCTCCCTGCATTCTCTAGGCAGCACGGAGCTGACAGGCAGCACCAACCTGATCACACACTACAACCTGGAACATGCCTATAATAAATTCTGTGGGAAGAAAGTGAAGGAGAAGCTGAGTAACTTCCTGCCTGACCTACCCGGAATGATTGATCTGCCAGGTTCCCATGATAACAGCAGCCTCCGCTCCCTCATTGAGAAGCCCCCTATTCTTGGTGGCTCTTTTAATCCTATCACAGGGACCATGCTGGCTGGATTCCGCCTCCACACTGGCCCGGTGAGTCCCCTCTTGGGGAGGAAGGAGGCAAATGGGGAGGTCTGAAAGGCATGGAGGTAGTTTTTCTGTCCAAGTCTGTTCCTTCCTTATTGAGCAGAACAATGGGGAGCAGGGGCTTTGCTCCCTCCACTCACCCAGACCTTCCTTTGGTTCCTTCAGTTGCCAGAGCAATGTCGCCTGATGCATATTCAGCCTCCCAAGAAGAAGAATAAGCACAAGCACAAACAGAGCCGTACCCAGGATCCTGTCCCCCCAGGTAAGAAGCAGGTCTATTCAAAGCCAGAAAACCTGATGTTCTGAATCTGGTTCACCCATCCTCAGTAAAAAAAAAAAAAAAAAAAGCAAGAAAGTTCCTTACAGAGTCTTGAACTCCCAAATTCTCCTGAAAAAAGAAGTTGATATTCTGGGGTCTCCTGGGCAAGTAGGACCTTGGGACCCTCAGGGACCTTAGCAGTGCCTCCATATTCTCTCTGGCCATTTGAACAAAAGCAGTTGCCCTTGACTAGGGGTTTTCCTATAATCTGCAGAGTTCTAGCAGGAGGGGATTTTGAGCTCTACATTTGATAGGCACCTAATGTCTCCCAACAGAAACGCCATCTGATTCAGATCACAAGAAAAAGAAAAAGAAAAAAGAAGAGGATCCTGAACGGAAAAGGAAGAAGAAAGAGAAGAAGAAAAAGAAGGTAAAATAGGGGCCTGTTGCTGTAGCCCAGTGAGTTTCCCTTATGTCTCCCCTATACTAGGTAGAGTCCTTGGCTGCAGGTTGGACCCAACAAACATTGAAAACTTAGGGCAGGTTGCACTGTTTTCCCATCCACTCCTGGTCAATGCCAAGGCTACTTGCTAGTTGTTCTTGTGCTCCTGCTTTGTCTTCCCCAGAACCGACACAGTCCAGACCACCCAGGTATGGGCAGTTCTCAGGCCAGCAGCAGCAGCAGCCTCCGCTAACAGGACAACTGGACTCTGCCAGAATGACTTTTCCTGCTGTACTGAACCTGCTGTCAAAAGCTGCCTTCCTGGCTCTTGGACACTGCCTTAGGAGCATCTCCGGTGGCTGGATCAGAAGCAGTCCTACTGTGCTCATAAGAGGAATGCATTATGAGAGAGAAGGGCCATGCTTTTGTAAGGCTCAGTCCAGCTTTCTCATGGACATCTCTTCCTCTCCCAAGGAAGCTTTCTTTTCATCTCTTTTGTGCAGTTTGTCTGATTTAGGACCTTATCTGATTTGTTAGGGTTTTTCTTTAAAAAAAAAAAAATTGCATTTATCAAACTGGCTGAAGTATGACTGCCTATTAAGAGGTAAGTGCCTTTCTATGAGAGTCAGAGTTTAAGCCACAGCATGCTAAGATCTGGGGGGATTTGGGCAGGGAACCAACCAAAATGAAATTGGGGAACATGGTCCAAAAGTTAGGAAGAGTTTGTTAATACCTTTCCACAGACAAATAACACCTTGCCCATAATGTTGACAACCAAACACCTGGATGAGCTTCATACTCCATCTGAAGAGCTGATCCAGTTAGGGCTTGACTGTATTCTAGGTCAGTTTTGTTTTGAAACAGAACAGGCAACCAAAAAAGCACCTACAATCAATCACCACTGTACTTCAACAAGTTGATTCTTGGTCAAGCCCATGATTTTTTTGAAGTGAATATCTGGCAAGCAAAGGTGTAAATGCTTCTCTTATCTTTATACTAGTAGTAAGAACTTTGGAACTGCCTCATTCCTTAGTTAAGACAAAGTATTTGGCTGATGTGAAAACATTTCTAAGCTTCTAAGACAGCAACAAAAGGCAGCCTAAACTAACAAAATGTAAAGTTAAGTCCCTTTGGTCTTTGCAGGCCAAATAACTGAAAAAAATCTGAGAAAATCCAGCCTAATGTAATCAGACTTGAAGTTAAATTGGCAGAACAGTTAAAATCTATTGCTACGAGCCTCTAGATTGTAGAGGGAAAACCACTCATTCATTTAGCTCTAATTTTACAGTAGGATTTCAGAGTTCATATACTTGTTATAAACAGTGAAAATAAAGGGTTCTATTCTGTATTAAGAAACAAGTGTGGCACAAGTCAAGAGTTCTCTACGCTTCGAAATGACAGACTTTAGTAGTTGCAAATGATTTCCCATCCCCAGGAATTTTGGGGATTAAATCACTGGGGGAAAAACACCAGGACCTGTTGTCTTAAGTGGTTATTTTCACTACAGTCCTATCTAAAGATGGGTCAGGACCAGAGAAACTTCTGAGGCTTTCTTTATGACTCTCCACCAGAGACCATTCACCTGCCTTAACCAGACAAAATAACACAAGTCAGGGGGTAGCTGGTTAGATCAGGATTTCTTTTTATTCCTTGTTGGTTTAAAATGGCTAATCAGAATAAAAAATAAAATGGCCTCTATCTAGAGGCTGGGGTCTCCCCTGTTTAGAGGTTAGAACCCAGGTATCTCCTCTACCCAGCACCATACTGAGGTGGGCTGAGGGGTACCTCTCAAGGGACAATTGGAGGGGCTTAGGCCTGCCACTCCTCCTCTCTATCCCATTTTTGGCATGTGATGAAAAATATTGCTTTTTGGATTCTTCTCTCCTAGCCTTGGATTAAAAAATGTTAACTGTGTGTGAAATGGGGGAAGGATTTGAGGGGCTAGTTGAAGAAGCCCACCCTAATCCTTCCATCCCAAAAAGGGGATTATCCAGTTGTTTCTGGAGCTTGGCCAAGCTCTTTTCCTGATCTCTCCTCCACCAAAAACATCATGGGGCTGTGACCCCTTTCCTGGGAAAACTAAGTGCCAATGAGCCCTGAAAACTTTACTCTCTCCTCTGACCAAGACTTCAGACTCGCCTCTCTCCAGTTCCTTTCCTGATCACTAAGCACCGACAACAGGGGGTGCTATTTTCTTAATTGGTAATGGACAAAAGAGAGAACCCTGGGGCAAAGGAAGACTTCTATTCACATCTTTCCTCTTCTCCTGCTGGTCCCAGGAATGGGAAGAGTAAGATCCCCCTCTTAAACATCCCTCCCTCATTTTCCCATCCCAGGATAGATATATAATTTCTTTGATATTTATAATATATATATGTATATATATATATATATATATGTACACACACACACACCTGGTAACGCAGAAGAGGAAAAAAATAGAATCCGTAACAATAATAAAAAAAATTATTTCTGGTTTAAAAATGATCTGGTTCTCTCCAGGGCGAGCAATTGCACAAATGTCCACTGAGTCTGGTCCAGGGGTTGAGGAAGGGAAGGTCTTAATAGGTAAAGGGGGTTGCTGCCCCAGTCTCAGGGCCCCAACTCTCCGACTCCCCAACCCCATTGCATTTTATAAAACGCTCCTCATCCTCTTGGAATCGGTGGTTTAAAAAAATGTCCATGCAGGGGAGGAGAGCCCCTTGAGGAAAGGAAGGTGGCCACCTGGGGGGCCCTTTGGTGCAGGCGCAGAGGTGTGGGGGAGGGGAGGTGCCGAAGGCTCACACCGAAATCTCATAGGTGGTGCCACCTACTCCTGACACTTTCTTGACTCCTCCCCTTGTGGGGCTACTGAGAGGTGGCTGGCCTGGGCCAGGGGAAGCTGAGCCTATACTCTTGGGCTGCCCATTGGACTTGCTGTAGGCGGTCTTGAGCTGTACTTCATCTCTGGGAAGAAAAGAAAGAGAGAGGTGTCAGGAACTGGGACACACAACACAGAAAAGGGAGACAGTTTTAAAAGTTCGGGGGGAAAAAATGATGTACTTTTCTCCATACATACTTTTTTTAGTGTGATGAATAACTTTTAATTAAATGATTTGTACTTAAATATGCTTTCTTACCTAAACATTCCCTTTTGTTTTATTGCACTGCTTGAAACAAGCCTGATTCCCTATCTCCTATTTATTTCTTCTCTCCAATAGCAGCTATCTTGTATATTTACACTCAGACAAATAAATTTTTAGGACAGGATTAAGAAAAAGTATTAAACTTCAGTCTCTTAACAGGAATGGCCCATGAAAGCAGCTGGAGTGAAAATGAAAATGAAGAGCTATCCACAAGCAGGACAAACCTGGGTCCATTTGCACTAGAACATACAAGGGCAGTCCTGATGCCTTCTACAGGGCAGGATGCTAATTATAAGTTCACTGAAGGCCAGGATGGACTAATACTTACTTGGGTGTCAGTAACGGCTGCAAGGCCACTTCTTCAGTCTCAGAGACACCAGGTTGGGCTTTTTGGCTGCTATAAGACATGGATCGGCCCAGGTATGGAGCAGTTGGGCCTGATTCAGGGGACCCCAGTCCCCGGCCCCTTAGTCCATCTGGCTTGCCAAATCGGGGCACAGCTGGGCGTCCCAATGGAGTCTTGCCCAAGGGTGACCTCTTCGAATCATCTGAGGAGGAACTAGTACGAGGGGCATGGCCTGAGCCTGGTGTCGACTGAATGCCTGAGTCCCCCAAGCCTGGTTCTTCCTCTCGACCTGGGAGTGGGGGTGACTGGCGTAGCAGCTTCTCTCGTTCCTGGAGGGAGGCCACGATATGGCGCGACAGATTGTCGTACCGGACTGGTGAGGGCTCTCGGTGTACTGGGCCAGTTGGCACCAAATGTGGGTGCCTCTCAGCTTCCCGCTGTTGAGCCAGCCGGGCTGACAGGAAGGGAGAGGTGTAGCCTAAAGGTGTGTCTGGCTCAGGCCCTGCCTGCACTGACTCAAAGTCAGGGCTGTCAGAAGGAGTGAGCAGGCTGTCATAAGATAAACTTCCATTGCGTGTCTGGTTAGCCAGGCTCTTATAGGAGGTGGAGGTTGTGCCCTCGGAACGGATGGACTGCAACTGGCCCAGCTCAAAGCCTGTGCCCTGGGCCGACTTGAGGCTGGAGGAGCGTGAACCACTGGACAGTGGATCGAAGTGAAAGCTTTTGCCAAAAGTGGGAGAGCGGAAGCTCTCTGGCTCCAGGCTGGGTTCTGACCGGTAGCTGGGATGGCGGCTGCTCTCTGCAATTGAGGTTGGCTCCTTCAAGCTGTCACCACGACTCAACTGGGGGAGAAAAAAAAGCAGGCTCTTAGTGCTGCTCCTCATGTGACAGATGCCAGGTCCCAGAGCCCAAGGAGTCCCTCAAAAATGGCCTGTTACATGCCAGCAATGTTTAGAACATTTGTATGCATTATCTTGTTTAACCCCTAAAGCAAATCTCTTGAGTTAGTACAAATAATACCACATTTTAAGATGCAGAAAATAAAACTTAAGTAACTTGCTTGTGATGGGTTTGAACTTAGGTATGACAATCAGTGCTTTTATCTATTTTGCTTCCTTGCCCCCCTTTAATGAAGTAACATCAACAAGATTCAATACCACTAACACAGTGGTCGGCAAACCGTGGATCACGAGCCACATGCGGCTCTTTGGCCCCTTGAGTGTTGCTCTTCCACAAAATACCACAGGGCACAGTGTGATTGAAACTTCATGGCTCATGCACAGAAGTCAGTTTTCGGCCTGGGCGAGTCTATTTTGAAGAAGTGGCATTAGAAATGGGGGGGAGGGGTTCAGTCGGTCGGGCAATGGGAGACACGGCGCAGGCGGGCCGCAGGATACGCAGCGCGGGGGAGGCGCGCACGATTCATGCACGAGTTGAGGGTGGGAGAGCTGGAAGGGGTCGACCTCAGCGAACATACCTCAGTCAGATTGAGGATGTTTTTAGCAAAGGCCAGCTTAGGAGTACCCTAATTAAGTTAATAACAATGTACCTACCTATATAGTTTAAGTTTAAAAAATTTGGCTCTCAAAAGAAATTTCAATCATTGTACTGTTGATGTTTGGCTCTGTTGACTAATGAGTTTGCTGACCACTGCACTAACACCAACAATTAGTAAAATGCCTTTGATTTTCTTTTCTTCCCTCTGCCTCTTCTTTCCCTTCTCCCAATCTTTTTCCCAGACCAAGTGGCATATTTACAACCCTACTGCTTAGGGAGAACCCAGTACCTTGGCGCTGGAAGAGTGAGGCATGGCGGCTGATGTGCTGCTGCTACTGTAGCCTGGCCGATACTTGTACATGGTAGGTGTGGGGGGGCTGTCCTTGCTCAACAGGCTGCTGTCTGTGGGGAAAAAAAGGCCCAGAGGAACCACTTTACAAGCTATGCTCTTAACCTAGCTAGAGTTCCTTAAGGTAGAGGAGAGAACAAGGTAGAAATAAGTATACTCAGCCAAGGGAACATGATTTTGTTGAAATCAAGACTAAAGACTCCTATTAGTTCAGATCTCAGTGAATATACCAAACAGGATGCTCTCTGTCTAAAGCTGACAGTTCCCCCACAAACATCTAATTCACTGCCAGTAGCTAAATGGTATCCCCTTTCTCCCAGCTGTTCAAAGTAGTGGCTCAAGTGCCACCTATTGGGTGTTCTCAGCTACAGCAAAAGCATTATCTCCTAGCCCTTGCCTATATCTGCGCTACAATTCAGTCACCTTCTCACTCCTGCTGCCCTTACCCTCATTAGCAGCCAGATTGAGGTGTGTTCGTAGCCCTGTATAACGGCTCAAGTCCGGCTTAGGAGGAGGTGGAGGTTCAGCATCTGCGGATTGGCTCTCTGTAATCTCCAAGCTTCCTTTAGACTGGATAAAAGAGGGAAAATCAAGGCATCAGGCAATTCACAAGTATTAAACTGGTAACAGAGGAGTGTTGGAGAGTCAATTATATATTTCTAAACGGACTGGAAGACAAGGGACAAGAGTCAGTTTGAGAATGGTACTGGATTAAAAAAAGTTTTCAAGAGTTTAATCCTGCCATTTATTTGTGGGTTGGTTTTTGTTGTTGTTAATCCTCATTTTGAGGTTATTTTTCCATTGATTTTTGTGTAGAAGAGCAGAAGGAAGAGGGAGAGAGAAACATCATTGTGAGAGAGACACATCAATTGGTTGCCTCCCCCACGTGGGATCAAACCTGCAACCCAGGTGTGTGCCCCTGACCAGGCATTGAACCCCTGACCATTTGAGCGCAGGCTGGCCTGGGCTTTGTTCATTTTTACCATTAACTACTTGAGTTCCAACCACCTGCAAGCTACTATCTTAAGTCCTATGAAGACATGGAAATGAATGGACTCAATTTATAATGTCACTAAATTACAATCTAATGGAGATAAGATATATATTTTTAAGTAATTTTAACACAAGTCAGAAAGTGATAAATACTATGAGAGATGTAAGCTAAAAGCATGTTTCCATTTCTTTAGCAGGAGTGAGAGCCTCCAAGTTACCTAATTTTGCTCCCCTAAATTCCTCACCTTAGTTCTCCTCAGCTCTCCCTGGATGCCATTGTCCATGATCTTCACAGTTATCTGCCCATCTGACACTTCTGGTCGAAGGAAGGGAGGTCTGATTACAATGGTCTTCTCTTTCTTTGGTCTCCCCAAATACCTGAGTGTTAAGAATAAAAAGGCTTTCATTCATTCATTCATTCATTCATTCCAATGTATCTACTGATTGCCTACCTTGTATAAAACATTTTTACACAATAAACAGTCCAACCAGGCCAGTGAAAAGATCAACATTGAACAGATTTGATTCCATGACTGTAATAAGACTAGGCCTTTGGGCAGATAGCTAGCTCAGGACAGTCTGGAGTAAATCTCAACTCTCAGAGGAGAGTAACCATAATACCTGATGAGTATCAACTGAACTCATGATGTCCACTAAAGGATGGCATGTCTTTCCCGTGTAGGTACTTCCCATTCTAAGAGAACCCTTCCTAATGGCAGTATCCCATTAGACGTTCTGGCACCAGAAGCAGACCAAAGGAGAGAAAAGTTATAATGAAGGGTGAACAGCAGACCAAAGGGATATAGATGTACCTGGGTGCTGGGGAACTGCAGAGTACACGGCTGACATTGTTACAGCAGCCATTGGTGAAGGGGTTCACACCTCCCCGGAATTTACCCGTAACCTAGGAGGAAAAAAGGGCCAGAGCAGTCAGACAATGGGTCCCTGACTTCCAAAGACCAAAACATAAACCAATGAAAAATTATTGTATACCCACTATCTGGGAGATACAAAAAAAAATGAGTAAAACACAATCCTGCCATCAACCAACTTCTACCTAGGATAGCTAAGAATGGCAACTCTAGAGTCAGTGTCCTCAGTTCAAATCCTAGGTCTTCCTCACCATAGCTATCTCACCCTCAACATCAGTTTCCTCATGTAAAATGGGGATAAATAGCTCTCTGAATATTGAAAACTAAGATAATATACAAAATAGCAAGCAAGGTTAATTACGCACAAAAATAACTGTCTTTAAGCAGCACTATAAGCTTCTTGAGGGCTGACGCAGATCTTTTATTAAGCTTCTCTAAGCTCGGAGCCCAAATTGTCCAGTATAAATGGGCATTCTGTAAATGCTAACTAGAGATGGCTTCTATTCTCAAGTTTGCATGAGGAAATTGGACACTACCTCATAAAACATATTTAGGGTGCGGGGCAAAAAATATAGTATTTAGGTATCCATTTGTAGAAGCACAGGCTAAACACTAATCACAAGACTAAAAGACAAGCCCTCCTCTGCAGAGGTCTCCCATCACTTCTTCCTGTACCTGTTCATTGGTTGTGCGTCCACGAGCCACCAGCACCACATGAAATCCCGTGAGGCCAGCTACAGGGATGAAGAATAAGCCAGCCACACACATCACTGCCATCCTGAAGCCAAACAGTCAAGGAGAGCAGAGCAACATGATCTCATCTTCTCCAGCCCATACTGTAGCCATCTTCCCTTGAGCCTTACTACCACAGGATTCAACCTTCCTCACTCTTCCCCCTCCCAATCCCACAACCCAAGCCTTAAAGGATACGTGACAGCCGTGCAGACCCCTGAGAGTTCCTCCACGTGGTAGAGGACATAAAGGAGGCCAAAGCCAAACACACCCATAATGTGCACTGTCAGGGAAAGGAGGAAGAGGAAGAAATAACGGTAGTTCCGGCGACCAATACAGTTGTTCACCCAGGGGCAGTGATGATCAAATTCCTAGGGGCAAAAAGAAAGAATGAGAGGCATCCTTGGACCACAGCACTAGATCATTTTTCAGTCAAGAAGACAAACAAATGGCAGAACTTAACTGTTGTTTTTATCTATGATTATGCTAATCATTTAGTTGCAAAATTAAAACAGGATCAAGCAGTTTATCTTGCTCTACCAGTCTCACAGGAAGACTTCCCAAAGGTTAATGATCAAAGACCAAAGTTGCCTCTCAAAGTTTATCCTATGTGACTAAGGAACTCTGAAATGGAAGAATGTCAGAGGCTTTGCAAAAACATCAAGATTCTTGAGAAAAGAGGCTTGAAAGGAAAATCTGATAGGCAAATGCTTATAGCTACGTAAAAACTGATTGGCGGGGGGGGGGCGGGGAGTCAAAAATAAAAAGGCCCTGGCCAGTGTGACCATCCTGGGCATGGAAAGGTTGCCAGTTCAATTCCCAGGTTAGGGCACATGCCCAGGTTGTGGGCTCCATCCCTGGTAGGGGGCATGCAGGAGGCAGCTGACCTATGTTCCACTCTCACATGGATGGTTCTGTCTCTTTCTCCCTCTCCCTTCCTCTTTCAAAAAACACAAAACCTTAAGTAAAATGAAAAGGACACAGGAAGAAAAATATAACTAAAAATTGAATGCAACAGTATGATGATGTAAACGCAAGAGATAACACAAAGCCAGGACACATAACCAGAAAGATGAGCCAAGGGAAGGAAGGCTAGAGCCATGAATCCTGGTGCTGGGAAAGCCTAGGGCACTTGGGGTCCCTCCTGTAACAGAATATTTGCACTCTACCTCTCATGTACACACTACCCACATAGTTAGCCAGGACTGTATTTCATGCACAGGATTCGATCCTTACTCTATGAGACGGAAGATCACTTGGGTTAAGCATCAAGTGACCCCACTCAGGGTTCTTACCTCCACACAATTGTCACAGACACTGCAGTGGGAACATCGAGGAGGACGGTAGAATCGGCAGGTGGCACACCATTTCATACGCACTTGGATGCCCTTGATTTCCACTGTTTTGTAAAGGGGAGCTCGGAAGTCATCTTCCTTGTCTTCATCCTCCTCAGCTGCAGAGAGGAAAGTCAATAAAAAAACAACTGTGCCAAAACTGTACCAAGCATTAGGAATGCAATGATATTTAAAATACGGCCTCTGCCTTCAAGGAATTCAAGACTAATGGGGGAGAGACTACGAATTAGTAACTAATACTGTGAGATCAGCTCTTTATACAACATTATTGGAACACAGTTGAAGAAGCAATTTATTCTGCACTGGGAAATGAAGTTCAAGAGAATATGACTCGCCCGGCTGGCATGACTCAGAACCAGAAGGTCATGGTTCAATTCCCGGTCAGGGCACATGCCCAGGTTGCGGGCTCATTCCCCAGTGTGGGGTGAGCAGAAGGCAGCCAATCAATGATTCTCTCTCATCATTGATGTTTCTCTCTCTCTCTCCCTCTCCTTTTCTCTCTGAAATCAATAAAAATATTTTTTTTTTAAAAAAGAGAATATGACTCAGAGGTGGCTGTGATATGGATACACTGATATTCCCAGTTTACATACTATAAATTTATGTAAACTAGTTATCTCTGAGCTGTGAAATTATAGGTGATACTTGTCTTGTTTATACTTTCTATATAATGAACATACACTATTAAAATGTTTATATTTAAAATTTTTTAATGCTATTTATTTTGAAATCTCTGATCCTTCCACACCATCATCTATCAGAAGTGAGTTCTTTATTTTTTTTAAGTACTATATAGTTATTTGGTTACTCTTATAACTTAACTAGAGGCCCAGTGCACGAAATTCATGCACTTGGCAGGGGCGGGGGGGGGTCCCTCAGCCTGGATTGCAAGAGTGCAAGAGGGCACAGGCAAGGCCAGGGGAACCCACTGGTGCATGATCGGGCCAGGGAGAGATGTGGGAGGTTGGCAAGCCTGGGAGGGACCACGGGAGGGCTCCAGGGCGTGTCCGACCCATCTTGCTCAGTCCTGATCGGCGGGACCCCAGCAGCAAGCTAACCTACCAATCGGAGCGTCTGCCCCCTGGTGGCCAGTGCACATCATAGCGAGCAGTTGAGCAGCCTTAGTACAGCATTAGCATATTACGCTTTGATTGGTTAAACAGACAACTGGACGACCAGACACTTAGCATATCAGCCTTTCATTATATAGGATACACAGTGTACCTATTCATACAAATGTCTTTCCTATCTTCCCCTCATTTGAAAGCAAGGACCTTTTAAAAAAAATTACCCCTAATGACCATAATGTCTTCCATATAGATCAGCGACTTTCAACCTTTTTTATCTCATGGCACACATAAACTAATTACTAAAATTCTTTGGTACACAAAAAATATACTTTTTGCTGATGTGACAAAAAAAAGGTATACATTTGATTTATTCACACCAGATGGCTACTGTTGTGTTGGTTGTCATTTTTTTCATTTGATAATCTAGAAAAGAAGTCAGTGCCCGACTAAATAGTCATGTTTTAAAAATTCTTACAGGCCCTGGCCAGTTTGGCTCAGTGGATAGAGCGTCGGCCTGCGGACTGAAAGGTCCCAGGTTTGATTCCAGTCAAGGGCATGTGCCTGGGTTGCGGGCACATCCCCAGTGGGAGGTGTGCAGGAGGCAGCTGATCGATGTTTCTCTCTCATTGATGTTTCTAACTCTCTATCCCTCTCCCTTCCTCTCTGTAAAAAATCAATAAAATATATATTTTTTTTAAAAAAATTCTTACGGCACACTGGTTGAAAATCATTGGAATACATAAATATTTGACAAAAGAACACTAAAAGCCCATTAAAATAGCCCTACTTGTCTTTAGGAACTTAAAGTTCCTTTCATTCATCTGATACTTGAAACAAGTTACAAATGAAGCACAATAACACAGCTTTTTTTAACATAATGAATTTCAGAAAAACTTCACCTCACCGAAGTTGCTATCCCAATTCCACTTGTCTCACTTTTACAAGATAACTTCACATTTGAGAGAAAAAGTAGGTGTCTTCATCAGTGTCTTTCTACTTCTTATTCTATCAATGACAGTTTTTACTCTCACCTCCTGTCTCAGAAACAGCTTACTGCTTCTGTATGCAAAACCCTTTTACCATGCTCTCTACCTTCCATCCTACTGAGTTCAGCATTTCATGGCTACAAGCTTCTGCCTAGAATGTCCTTCCCTTCCATCCTCTACTTGGTAAAGTAGTTCCTATCTACCATTAGCAGCATTTCCCAGTTTATATGGGCACATATTAGTGCACACTTTTCTATGGTCTCACAGAATCTTGTTCATGCCTCCATTACAGTTTGTATCACACTGTTTTGTTGTTGTTTTTTTAAAATATATTTTATTGATTTTTTACAGAGAGGAAGGGAGAGGGATAGAGTTAGAAACATCAATCAGCTGCCTCCTGCACACCTCCTACTGGGGATGTGCCCACAACCAAGGTACATGCCCTTGACCGGAATCGAACCTGGGACCTTTCAGTCCACAGGCCAACGCTCTATCCTCTGAGCCAAACCGGTTATGGCTGTATCACACTGTTTTAACTGCCTAATTCATCTTGGATAGTATTGTGCCTAGCAATACCGCCCAACCAGTATGTTCAAAATATATTTCTGCTGAACAGATAACTGAAAAACAAAGAGTTGATTCAAAGTGAATCACATGGGTAGAAGTTATGACATACAGTAGTACTAAAGGCCCTGACCTGCTTTTCATCATTAGACTATAAAAGTATCCCAAAACCTTGTCACTCAATGTATATGTCCAAAAATCATTATTTTTTCAAAGGTAATAAGGAGCTTCCAAAAAAGAGGAAAATCTTACCTCGAGGGAAAATCCCTGGGTCCATGAAGGTGGCCATGCTGAAGTTAGCCAGCACAAAGAGAAAAACAATCGCATTGTAGATGGGCACTGCAGGTGACACATAGCGGCTTAGTCCTGGACAGCTGCACAGATAAGAAAGAAAATGAGGGGCTGCTTCTAACACTCTGGACACCAATCATATAAAGATTCAGCCCACATACTTATATTTAAATCTTGTGTAGTTCACCTTTGCTGTCTCAAATTGTATCCTTCCCAACAAATGTGTCTAGTTTCCCAAAGAAATGCTTATTTTAGATCAAGGTACAAGACTCTGACTCTCTCCTACCATAACCCGTTGCACTAAAGGTCTGTGTTCTTCAGATTCTTTCTTCCCTGGTGGATCTTTCCAATGTTTTAGAATCTGCTCTTATCTCCTTTTTAAAAAGGCACAAGAGTTAGGGACTGAGTATGTAACTAATACCAACTACACTCCCTTCTCTGTAGCAGCCTTGAGGCTTCTGGATCCCAGCCATGCCCCAGTGACCTGTACATTGGCCCAAAGCATGAGATACCACCTGCCTCTCTGGCTCCCACTCCCTCTGGCTTTGTACCGCTCTCAACTGCCTAACATTTCTTCACTGCGTCAGATATTCCTGAGAGTTTTATTCATCTAGAAACTAGTTCTCAAGGTGAAAAAATAATAATACCCAAATATGAATGGCACAAAACTAGACTTCTTGAGGTCTATAAATGAAGCAGAAGAGTGGGGAATAAAGAAAAGATTCCAGGCCTGGCCGGTGACTTAGCTGGAATGTCATCCCATGCACCAAAAGGCTATGGGTTCGTTTCTAGGACAGGGCACATACCTAGGTTTCGGGTTCAATCCCCGGTCAGGGTGCGTACAGAGGCAACCAAAGGATGTTTCTCTTTCTCTCCCTTCCTCTCTCTCTAAAATAACGCTTTAAAAAAAATAAAAATAAAAGAGAAGATACCAGACCAAACCACCCTAAATCCTGTAGGTAAAAGAAGCTGGTTAAATATATCCACTATTTCACAGGGTCCAAATCAAGAAATATGCATAAGGTAACTTTTCTTGGATTTAAAAAAAGAAAAGAAAAGAGTGCCCCAGTCCAGGATTATACTCAGTTTCTGTCTGGATGTGAGTCTAGTAGGAATGCTGCAGGTGCTCTTCCTTTCTCTGATGATATTCTGGGAGCTGGAAGTTTCAGAACACAGATGTGCTGCTTCCTCTGTCAGTAATATCAAAGACCCTCTCTCCTGTCTCAGCTCAGGAAAAACTTCCCATTACAAGACAGTGGCTAAAGACCCTAATCTGCTTTGTGGCTGAGAACTTAATCTTTAGAATTAGAACAGCATCTGTCTTTGTCCCCTTTATCTAGACCAGTCAGAAGGAAAGGAAGAGTTCATTAAAGGAAGCAGGGGCCAAGAGAACATGACAGCATGAGTCTGAAGAATTCATCCACAGCAGTCCTGGATTCTGTTGTGATGTGTCTCTACCAAAACAAAAAGCACAGCCCTGAGCAGTGATTCAAGACAGTTCATAGGAATTGAGCTCCTTAATGAGATATAAACTAATAAGAGACAAAGATGATGGTCACAAAGCATCTAAAAGTCTTGACTACCACCATCTATTTATTCAAATTCCATTAAAATTTTTTTAAGTAAATATTATGTGCAAGGTTTTTTAAGTAGTAAATATCAATTAACTCTTAGCTTCTCCTAATCAAAATTGGAAGATAATGAAGTAATGAAGGTAGAGTTAAAGGCACTGATTTCAAGGAAAAAACAGATCTCCCATCACAGTTCTGGGTTTATTATCAGTCTCCTATGGAAGCCTCTTCCTCTGGGGTTTCTTTGGTTCAGAAAAGATGCCCCCCTATTTTGGCAGGTTTTGGGGTGAACTATAAGCAAGAAGGAAGAATCCTTACACAGCCCCACCTAAAGCCTGGGTTCCTAGCTCCTTGGGAGGAGAGAAACTGAAAACCAGTCATCCAGGTCAGAGCCCCTCCCTAGTACTTAGCTGTCACTTTAATTTCCGCCTGGGAAGAGGAGAAAGGGTGACTCACTTGACTCCTACAGCCTGGGAAGATAATTAGAAGGGAAAAAGAAATTAAATCCTTAGAACACTGAGGTACCATGATTTAAAAGTCTCATTCCTAGAATTGGCCATTATGGCTACTGTGGCGGCCTCCTGAGCTTCTGAAAATAAATAAATAAATAAGGGTATTTCTGTTCTTGAGGGAAACCAAGGTGAATGACAATGAGACATCAGCTACTTCACAGGCCCAAATGTCAGCCTTTCTGACCCCATTCTTTCTTCAGTTTCTGCATTTCCAAACAAAGAAAATCACACAATTTCTTCTGTATCTGGCCAAACTCTGGTATAATGAACCTTACCCCTACAACCTTCCTGATATCAGCCTATCCCAAAGTGTGAAAACCTAGAATCAAGTTCCAGGATCTGTTGCCAAAATAAAGCCTGTCCTAGAGTTGGCAGTTTCTAGAAATGATACAATTAAGTGCATAGGCAGTATTTGCTCCTAGATGCAAATCAGGGACCTACTGCTTCCAACCTAAACACTCTAGCTCAGAGAGCACCCTACCAAGGAGAGGCATGTGTGAGCAGTGCCTGTTCCTGCCATATCCTATTCTGTTTAGCTCAGGGAGAAGACTGCTGTTGCTACAGTATTCTGCCAGGTCCTAGGTGACCACCCCAAGTAGCCTGTCTGAATCTGTTGCCTTTGATGGAAGGAGATGAGAGCTGAGCTGAGAGGAGTTGTTGGGACTCGTCCTCAGCCTATAGCAATAATCATAGTGCTCCAAAGCACAGGGAGTGGCTGCAGCCCAAAAGGCTGGCTGACTGACTCACTGATGAAACTCCCATTCCTATACCAACCCAGAAAGAACAGGTTCTTCTGCCCACCCATTCAGCCCTCCTGTTTTCGAGCCAAATAAAATGGGGAGAGTAGGTTTCAGTACCTACACTCTTGAAAAATCTGTTTCGTAGCCATCTCTCACACTTCCTATTATAAATGGTTCAGTTCCTAGTACAAAAAAAAAAAAAAGGAGGACTCAAGAAGCTTTGATTTTAATTCTCTCCCAATCAATATTTTGCTAGGTAGCCTAAGGTAATCCACAGAAAACTCTCCAAGTTCATTACTTCAACTACATAATACAGATATGAGACTGGAGACAAAGTCTGAAAAGATCCTAGAATTCTTTTTAAACCAGACGGCTTAATACTAGGCATTCACTGGCTAAACGATACACACACACACACACACACACAAACACATTACTATTACAACCATCATCAATTATCATTCCAGCTCCACCTTCATCCTTCATTCCACTTCCCCATTCTGAGGTACTGGACATTCAAGAACACTTGAAACATAGGCACTACCCTCCCTGAAGGACAAGTCTATACATTCCATCCATGCCTAACACATAGTTTGAATGTATGACTAGTGTTCCTTGCTAATGAGGAAAGGTTGAAATGAATACCCCACTTCCTAACCCCTGGGATCAAGATTCCACAGGAATACAATTTCTTCTCTTATAGGTGGGTAAGTTCCCCTTAAAACACTTCACTTATGGTGTGTGTGTTACTCAGACTTTCAAGCAGTTCAGTGCAAGACATAGGACCTGGACACTTACTCCTGGATGAGAAAAAAACGTGGGAAGGAAAAGGAACAACCACTGCTCAATTAATGCCCTAAATCACAAGACTGCTCCCACTCAAATCAGGTGCTAGCACCTCCACAGTCATGAAGAAAAAAAAACAGAGGGAGAGTCACTCCAGTTGCCCAACTCTCTGGGGTAAAAGGGTTGGGAGGGGCCAGAGGTAGAAACTGAAAGGAAGAAAGCTCTCTATGGATGGGACACTAGAAAGACCAACACAGATTTCTGCACAACCCAGACTTTTTTATCTTTCCTGCAGAGGACCACCTGCAGCAGAGATGTACCCCCATGCCCACCCTAACCAACCTTAAAAGTAAACAAAATGAGCCCTAACCGGTTTGGCTCAGTGGATAGAGCGTCAGCCTGCGGACTCAAGGGTCCCAGGTTCGATTCCAGCCAAGGGCATGTACCTTGGTTGTGGGCACATCCCCCATAGGGTGTGTGCAGGAGGCAGCTGATTGATATTTCTTTCTTCTCATCGATGTTTCTAACTCTCTATCCCTCTCCCTTCCTCTCTGTAAAAAAATCAATAAATTTTTTTTTAAAGTAAACAAAATGAGACACTGGTTGACTTTATTCACAGTTTGAGGAGACTTTAGAGGATACAATTCAGTGATTTATTTCAAAGACCACTGCCAGGAGCCCTAAAAAGGTTTCAAGGCTCCTCAGGAAGACAAAGAGTATGCACCAAGTGGCTGGGCCTCTATGCACCTGCCTCAGCTGAACCAGACAGCTCTACCCTTATGTTTTATGTACTGGGGTTCCAAATAAGATCTCATTTGAAAAAGGTCATGGTGTTTAAATAACTACTCTAGGCCAACTTCCTCATTATACAGAGGAAGAAACAGGTCCACAAAGTTTAACAGGCTTTACCAAAATCTGTCTCCTGACCCCCCAAAAGTGTGCATTCCTTTTACCTAGCACTGACCCCTGCCAATCACAAAAGGAGGCTTAGTAAAGACAAAAAGGATACAGGCACATTATCTTAAATGCAGAGTCTAATGCCTAATTAGAAGGGGAGGGTTACTTTAGCAGACACTCTCCTTCCCAAGCACGAAAAAGAGGAAAGAATTAAGACATGATCCCCAATAACTTACCTGCTTAGTTTTAGTACTGAAAAAAATCAGTGAATGAGGGGGATTAGGCTTCTAGGAGGAAGACCTGAACTGTTCTATTCAAGCTTCTCTGCGGCAGAAGATCACCATTTTTTGATGATCAAGCCCAACTGATAATATCTGCTCATAGCTTTCCCTACTTGGCAGGTAAATTACATCTAATTGGTTGAAGCCTATATGCTTCCACTAATTATGTCTGCCAGCTGAAAGGGACTTTTTCTCCTACTCCCAGTCCTCTAGGTCCCAAAGTAATTCTCACCTGGGGCTTGTACAAATGGTTGAAAAGATAGTTGTAGCCTAGGGAAGAGAATAGAAGGATGACAGAATTGTTACAGATTTAGGGCCCCTATTTGGAGCTGGTTCAAAGAGAGCCTTCCTCTTGTCTCTCTACTTGAAACCATAAATTATTTTCTAGGTTGTATACAGTTTTAAACAGAGGGTTCCCCAAGGACTTGAACCTCAAAAGGGATAGAATATGTAGAACAGTTTTTTAGATCAGTGGCACCTCAGTCCAGATGTATGCTTGTAGAGGAACTGCTATGGTTAGATGGAGAGGAAGAGTTGAAAATTTCAGAGGTTCAGGGTGTTTATGTCTCCGCAGATGGGCGAGGAGACTCTAGCGAGGAAAAGAGAGCCCAGAAGTTGGTCCTGAGGAAAGTGCCAGGGGGAACTCTCACTAGGACTTAAGGCTTCTAATTTTGGATTAGAGGCAGTAATTCCAAAGAGAGTCAATATTGTCCTCCAAAATTCTTTTTCCTCGGGCTACGAGACCATAGAATAAGGAGGGCCCCTACTTTTCTGGCACCAGGGAATGGAAAAGTAGGTTAAATAGTTTCAACTATCAGTTGAGAAAATGTCTATGTCAGGACAACAATTTGTGGCAAAACTGGTATAACCAGCCAAGCACTTCAATGTTTCCAGATTAGCAAAGTAAGAGCAAGGATTGTGCTCAAGAACAAATGGGTTGAAAGAGAGAAACCACCTTGAAGGAAGATAGAACCTCCCCAATTAAGCAGGTCTGAGGGTGTCAAAGTGGTCTTATATATATCCCTCCTGACACAGCACCACAAGGGCTACAAGGATACCAAGATTCCATATAAATGTCTCATGGTTAAAATGTTGATTCTACCTACCCATAATAGCAGAAACAAAAATAAGGATGACACTAAAATTCCCTCCTCCTTATTGGCAGTCAATGCATGAAGAAGGGCAGGACACTGAACATGTTGAGACAAAGATTATAAAGACCAGAGATGAGCAGGGCTGCTCTAGATCCCTGAAGGATTCCACAGGTAAGTTCAGGCTGGAGAGCCGGGGGCAAGGAAACTATGACTTCTACTCATCCGAGGAAGAGGTGAGAAATAGGATGGTGCTTGTACCTTAGGTAATAGATCTTTCCCTTATCAAAAAACTAAGAGCCCTCGCCCTAACCGGTTTGGCTCAGTGGATAGAGCGTCGGCCTGTGGACTGAAGGGTCCCGGGTTCGATTCCGGTCGAGGGCACGTGCCTGGGTTTCGGGCTCAATCCCCAGGAGGCAGCCAATCAATGATTCTCTCTCATCACTGATGTTTCTCTCTCTCTCTCTCTCTCCCTTCCTCTCTGAAATCAATAAAATATATATATATATATATATTTTTAAAGAAATAACTAAATAGAAAGCATCACTATTACTTTGCTGACCCATATTTTTTAGAATTCCTTCTGGCATAAGCTTAATTTGAGAGGTTTCCCTCCCTCCTTTCTCAGATTTAATTCCTGTTCGCTATTTCTTCCCATAATAGTAATTGCCAGCAATTCCTGCTTCATTCATCCTTCAATGAGTCCAAACTGCTTTATTCTTCACCACTTCATTTTCCTCTTCCCAGCAACCTCCCATTGCTCTAAATAGCACCTCACAATTAGGTTTAAGCCTGAACTACAGCAAAGTGAACTCCCCAGAAATATCTACCATGCTCAGATTGTTCCAAGAGCTACAACTAGAACACCAACTCAATGCCTCGACAGTTTAAGGCTCAGAAGGCTGGTCCATGTTAATTATAAACAGGTAACAGCAAAGACGTTTCCCAGATGGTTGACAGTTAAAATATTGGGGGAAAGGGGAAGAATAAATCAGTCTCCTCCAATAACAAGCCAACGAACAAAGTCTGTATATCACAAGCGGGAAATCTTTTAATATCAACTGTATTTCCTAACACAACCAGGGAATGGAAGAATTGCTGCCATTCCCTTCAGCAGGAACTAATATAAAGAAAGTCTTCTAGGACTCTCCTCCTAAATAAAATTTGCGTTCACTTCCCATTGGCCTTCACTCCTTAAGTAATACTAAAAGCTAAAACTCTCTCAATGGTATATCTTCTAAATCAATTCTGAAATTCTCCAGTACTCTGTTCCCATAATCTTAAATTTAAGCTTCGAATAACCAGGGGAAAAGCCACTGCTAGCGGCTGATTGCTTAAGCTGCTTCAAGCCTCTCTGGTGGTTTCCTCCCACTTCCTTCCTAGTTCAGGATCATCTAATGATGGAGCTGGGTAGGAAAATATGAACATCTGTGATTCCAGAGGAAGGGAGGCAGGGGAAGGTAGAGGATTCAATGGAGTAAAATCTATACCATGTTTCTGGGATTCAGATTTACCTCTATCAGACATCCAACACCCAATCGCTTGGCTTTGAAAGCAAAACTCAAGAGAAAAACTAGCCCATCACCTCCCATGGAGTGCCCCCCAAATACCACTGCTGGGAGAAAACTCACGTAAAGGCAAAGAAGAGGGTCGTAGCTCCCACTAAGAAGATGGCGGCTGCTGAGACCGGAACATACTTGCTGGGTTTGAATCTCTTTCCAGACTCTGCGGGCATGTTGGAGGTCTGATGGGAGATCTGCCCTGCCGCATAGCCCAGGCCCACACAACGGCAGAACAGACAAGAAAACGGGATGAGGGCAACACCGGAGATAAGAGCACAGGACACCAGGGAAAGAGAAAAATTTAAATTATCACCCTTCCCCCTCCCAAATGAAACCAAAGGTCAAAAGATCTCAAATGAAGGAGAGCATATGGGAGGGGGAAAGGTGATTCCAAATAATGAATAACCACCTCCCCAGAACGAGGCAGGAGACTAAGAAACACAACTTGTACAATTTGAAAACTGGAGACAAACAAGAGGCTGTACACATGCAAATGGTTGCAGGTAGACAACACAGGCAGTCAGACAGATCAAGGAATAATAGCTCATGGATGGAGATAAGTCTTCAAAAGGAAAGAAGGGGCGAGTATCAGGGTAGGGCAGAACACTTCGGACAAGGAACAATTCTTCGGAAGAGATACTGTAGTACCTCCACGACTACCACACTTCCACAAAATGTGAGCTTCACCCAGAGGTGTGCCCTGTGCTTCTATTTTAATCCAAGAAGGAAACTGGGATTTTCAGCTTTAAAGAGAAACTGTTTTTACTGTAGTCCTTGTCTCTTAGGCAGTTTTCTCAATGCCACCACTCCCACACCTTGACTTCAGGGCTTGTAGTATGGCAATGGTGGTTTAATTTTCTTTTCTCTTGATGGCTAAAGCTGGGCAGCAGCTGTTACAAGACTGAGTTGTAATCCTTTTCTTTGAAGGGGGAGGGAAAACAGAAAGAGCAAGCTTGTCTGTCTTCAATCTCTTGTTGTTATTCTCAAGCCCTTTTAGGGCTCCGTTTTCTAGAGAGTTCATGCAAAACTAAAGTGAAACATAAAATCCCTGAGGCCATGTTCTTCCCAATAAGCAAAATTAAGATGGAAAAAAAAATCAATTCCACTCGATACTTTTTAAAGATTACTGTGAACGAAAGCAAAGTTCCAAAGAGGTCCCTGTTTCCAGGTTAGTGTGTCTGCTCTTTTGTCTTCAATCTTGGGCTGTCTGAATGCAGAGTTCAACTGGGTTACAGTGCCTCACCTGGAAAAAACAAAAACAAATATATTTATCAAAGGAATTCTTTCAGGGCATTTCTTACGATTATCAAGGCTCAAACCCCATAGACCACTGTTTAAAAGTGCCTTTTGAAAGAAAGATTAGTTTCCACTTCACTTACGTGTCTGATGGGCTCTTACATTTACATTCTAAATGCTGTTCATATTAGAAAGAGAAGAACATGGCTTCACCTGGCCTAAGGTCATCAAAGAACTAGTTCTTGTAAGGGGGCCATCGTACCTGACACAAATAGTAACAAATACCAAAATCTAAAAACAAACAAGGGCCAGCCGTGACGGCCAGTCCTAGACAAGAGATTTCTCTTTGGACAAGGAATATTTCTTGCTACGAAAAGAGAAAAAAATAACCTCAAAACTAGGGCAGTAAGTCTCATTTCTTTCTGTGTATGTGTGTGTTCTCGTTCGTTCGTGTTCTCTCTCTCCCTCTCTCTCTCTCTCTCTCTCTCTCTCTCTCTCTCTCTCTCTCTATTTTAGTTATAACCCTGAAGAGGTAGAAGCTGAATATTTGGTCTTCTAGAGTAACACATGAAAGGACCTGAATGAGAAATGTGCTTGCACTGAAAGGTGAGATGCCCTCTTTAGGAAACTGAGTCAACCCTAGGGGCTGGTCCTTTTTTCCCAATTCATTAGTTTTTTTTATTCCTACATTGGTCTATTAGGAAGTCAACTGAGTCCCACCTTCCTCAATATGATTAAAAGTAACAATTATTTCTGTTGATGGTAGTAGCAAAATAACACTAGCATTTTGGATTTTATAGGGTGCTTTTCATCTAGTGATCTCAAAGCACTTAACTCACATTATCGGAGACAGAGTCCCTTATCCCACCCCGTAAAATTGAAGGCTAGAGAATGCCTGAGGCTGTTCCACTGAATCACTTGAGCAGTCAAGTTCAGAGCCCAAGAGTTCACATGCCCCTTTGCCAACCCAAGCCCTTTCTGTCTCTTTCTCATCCACTATACTAGCTGCCCAGTGATGACAACTGGAATCTGCAGACCAAAAATTTTACTTGTTAGAATTTAAAAATAAAAGCTTTATCACACCCAAGTGATCTAGGATTTCCCTTAATACCAAGGCAGAGATCAAAGTATCAGAAGATTCAAATGAAATACAAATGTGCCCTGGAATTTATTACTTCCTCTCTTACCTGTGGCATGGAAGGCAAAGGAACCCTTCTTCAAAAAAGATGCATTGTCTCTCTTTAAAAAACTGTTTTAGAGGGCCAAACAGCAATATTAGAAGTGAACACCCAGATAGTACAAAAAATTGTTAACATTCTAAAAACTTCAAATCCTCTCTAGTCCCTAATTTATGATTATTTAATTCTCAGTTTCCTAAAACAATCAAATCCCAACCTTCTGAATGTAGGCCTAAGTAACTTTGTTAACAATGAAAAGCAAATTCTTGACTTGCAGACAATACCATTAAGCTTTCCCCTCAAAACCCCAAAGATTAAAGAAAAATGGGAAAATGTACTGCTTATATTTTATCTAGAGCAGGATATAATTTAGACAGCATATGGTATTCCAGATTATATTTTCTAACAGAAAAAAAAGTAACTTGGGTTAATACTGCCACAGTAATGCAGGATCATAAAAGGCCATGCAAGTTTGGGAGCATTATACTGAGAAACACCTGAGATGTTTGGGGGATATACATTACAATGGACAAGACATAACCTAAGAATTTATTGGGTATTATAAAGACATACCAAGGCTTAGCAGAAGGATGTGGGAAGTAAGGATAAGATTGCAGGGTGAGTGTGTTTCATCAGAGCCAGTAGTCTGGATCCATACTAGTATGAGGTGTACAAGCCATGTGTATGACACAGGCAGAGTAATTTATGGAATGGAATATGTATATATGAAATAAACTAGAGAATATGTGCTTGAAAGCTCTAATAAAAGTTTAATAAAAGGACCTCCTTAAAGGGTGAATGGATATGAACAGTACCAGTAAAAACACAAGTATTGTTTGTTGAAACAAAGAGATGTAACAGTACAACATAGTAAATCTGAATACAAAGTAATCAAGGTCTCATGGAATAATCCACATGGCAAGATAGCTGAAAAGTCAAGCAGAAGTTTAACATGGGCGTTATCATTATATACCAAGGTAGCAAAGTACACGGGTATATAATTCTTGTGAGCATTAGGTGGGTTTTGAAGAATGGGTGATAATGAGCATTCTGAAGAGATTTGATACAGGACAGAGGGATACTGGGATAAAAGGATAGAAATGCGGATAGAAGATCAACCTAGCCAAGAAACCATTAATCAGGAAGTGAAAAATCCAAGACAGGAAAAGGGTCTACACTACAATATAACACATATCTGATCTTATACCTTTCATAACTTTAGGTCACTTTCTTACTTCTCATGTAAGTGTTTTCATTCGGCCAAGTGGATAGAACATCTTCCACTTCCTTGTCCCATAAAGAGAGAGATTCCTATTGGTAAAATTTAGCAAATACATCCGAGCTCCGCTTGTATTAAGTACAAAGTACTAAAAGCATGAAGCACCGGCTGGTGGGAGTGAGGAAGCGGACAGACGGGAGAGAACAGGTAAGAGGATGAGGCTTGAGCCAAAATAAGTATCAGCAGAGTGGAGCGAGGGACCCGAACCGGAGGGAGGAAAAAGGGGAACAGCACGCAGTCCCCTCCCAGAAGCTGAGCGAGGAGAATCACGGTATGGGGCAGAGCTGACCGAGACGAGAGGACGGAATCCACTGGGCAGGGCCCACTGGGGCTGCGGGAGGCTGCGGAGCACAGCGGCGCAGGGCCGGGGGCGGAAGGGGCGGCGGCTGGGCACCAGGCGCCCAGGGGGACCGGGGTCCCGAGGTAGAACCGAGCGGCCGGCACTAACCCGTTCTGAGCCCGGGCGGCCGTGGATCCCCGGCCTCTGCTCGTCGTCCGTTTCCGGGGCCCACGGGTCCCGCCGCAGTTGGATGACCCGGCCCGGAGGAGCAGTGGGGCCTCAAACCACCTCCCCCTTCCAGATCCCCCTTCCCTAGAGGTCACTCTCCCCTCCCACCTCACCGGCCCCGCACTTCCGGTTCCGCAGGGGCCGGTGTCCCTGGTACTCACCCCCGGCACGGTTCCCGTCACCCCTGCCGTCGTTATCGCGACCGCCTCTCGGCAGCGCCGTCCGGCCTCTGAGAGGCAGCGCGCGGCCCCCGCACGCTCCACGCCCGCCCTGCTATGCGCGCTCCCGCACAGTGACGCTCGTCTCCGAGCCGGCGCGCGGCCGTTGCCCTCAGTGCCGGGTCTCGAACCCTCCCAGCGTTCCCATTGGCTCCCTGTCCCGGGCGCGCGCGACGTCTCGCGCCGGGCACGTTTCTCTCATTCATGCGGCTCTCGCCGCCGCGCCCGCCCCCGCTCACTCTCCCATTCACCCATAGCCCCGCCCCCACCCCTCTCCAGGCCGTGCGCGCGAACCCCGGCGACCGCAGCGACCTCGCGTTCTGATTGGCTGCAGGGGCACAGCGCCGTACGCACGCAAGACAACGAGAACGCGCGCGCAAGGCCGTCGGGTCCCGCGGACGACTGGGAAAAGGGGGTTGGCGTCCTGCGCAGGAGTCGGAAATGGGGAAGTGGCCTGAGGAGTCTCCCCTTCTCCTTGTCCTACTTCCCCTGCCTACTGTAACCAAGAAGGAATCTTCGGGAGTAAAAAGTAGTTATACGTGTGTTCTGGGAGAACTCAAAAGCCAGCAGCTGCTTTCTGGAGTTCGCCAAACCCCCTCCACGTACGTTGGTACAGTCCAGACAGGCTTCTAGGAGAACCAGTCGCCTGTAGAGGCCCCGCCGTCTTCCTGCTTTAGCACCTTCCTTCATTGGCCAAACTTTTGGCAACTAAATAGCCCTCCTCTTCCCCCCGCCCCACCTTTTTTTGTTAATGGCGAAAACTTTATTTAAAAACATCTATCAGCGGTTCTCAACCTGTGGGTCGCGACCATCGGAAAACACACATAGCATATCAGGTATTTACATTACGATTCATACCAGTAGCAAAATTATAGTGATGAAGTAGCAACGAAAATAATTTTATGGTTGGGGGTCACCACAACATGAGGAACTGTATTAAAGGGTCGCGGCATCAGGACGGTTGAGAACCACTGATTGATGAAGCAGTTCTCGGTCCAGCGGTTTCCTGGTATCAGCAGAATCCCAGGAGAACGGAATGGTCTGGGGCTGCCGGTCCCGCATGGAGGGGGCGCCGGGACTAGGAGAGCCCGCGAGGGGCGCAGCTCCAGCCAGACGCCGGGCATCAAGGGGAAGGAGGCGCGTGGAGGGCGCGCCCTTTGAGGCGGGGGCGGCCCCCCGAGTGCGGGCCTGCTCTTGACTCTGTTTAATTACCTCCGTTTCTCACTGCAACACAGGAGTGGACGCCGCATCCCTCACCTCGCTGGGAGGAAAAAGTTCCCTAGAAAACCTGCGCCACGCCTGGCCTTAATTAGCCTCACAGTGCTGTAAGGCCAAGGGTTCTCATTTAGTTCGAGGCCACTTCTCTTCTGAAAGCCCCTCTCGCTGTTACATAACACTCTTTAAAAACAAAAGTGCTCCACCAGCCACTTGCGAAGCCAAGGGTCCTCATCTATAAAGTGTGATTCTAAATCTCGCGGTCTGCCCTTGCGCTTGTGTCCAATGCTGGTGTAACCGTGGTTTTACACTTCAGCACTAGGCAGCAAGGAGAAAGGTCTACCTTCTGTTTTCTGGGATCTAGTCTAGTTCCTTATCTGACCTGGCATATACTAGATACATCAAGCTCTAGTTTATTCTTGCTAAGGGCTCCAATCCATCTTTTATTGCCACACACTTTGGAGGGTTCTCCTTTTAGTGACAGTGTGTATTAAAAAATTGTATCACCCAGTTTAGCTCAGTGGGTAGAACGTAGGCCTGCGGACTGAAAGGTCCCGGGTTCGATTCTGGTCAGGGGCACATGCCCAGGTTGTGGGCTCAATCCCCAGTGGGGGGCGTGCAGGAGGCTGCCAATCAATGGTTCTCTCTCAACAGGGATGTTTCTATCTCTCCCTCTCTCTTCCTCTCTGAAATGAATAAAAATATTTTTTAATTGTATCTTCAAAATTCTTTTGACCCTATGGAAGTAAAGTTATTACTGGATAGTGTATTTTTTTTATTTATAGAGGCTTTTCTGTCAGGTTGATTCGTTTCCTTAGGAAGAAATCAATTTCATTTTTTTCTATTGCCTATTTTTCTTGGATTTTAAAACTTCTCATTTCCCCAAATTCATAGATTAAGCATCTTTCTTTTCCTTGCAACAGTCTAGGAACCTGTAAATTGTTTTGTATCTTGTCTCTACAGTGCTAACTGTAAATAAAAAGTCGATCTTCCACCATCCAACCACACATTCTAAATTCCCCTGGGACACTGACTACTGGATGACAAACTCTTATCTGGATGAGCACTAACAGTGGCATAATTACTATCCCAAGGTTTGGAGATTCCAATTTCTTGTCCAGTTTTCCCTAGGAGCATGCAACATATTTCCTGGAAAGGTTGTTGAATAGAACATAAGGTTTGAACTGCCAGCCATTTCTAAAAAGTATTGCACAGTATAATCCAGGTTAAAACAATGGGATTGAAAGGGCGAGGGCTAGGCCCTCCACCTTGCCCCAGGGTAAGGGCTAGGCCCTCCACCTTGCCCCAGGGTAAGGGCTAGGCCCTCCACCTTGCCCCAGGGTAAAGGCTACGCCCTCCACCTTGCCCCAGGGTAAAGGCTACGCCCTCCATCTTGCCCCAGGGTAAGGGCTACGTCCTCCATCTTACCTTGGCCACGTGCTTGGCAAGGAGCTTCTTCCCGGAAGTCTAAGACTCTGCTAGCCACACCCAGGAACAAGACATCGACTTGCGCCTGGCCAATTGGCAGAGCACAGTCCTTTCTCCTCCCCTTACTCCAACCCCCCCTTTAAAACCCGTCTCTAGGCGGGGTTCTGTCTCTCAGCCACTTGGTTTGCCGTTGTGTCTGTGAGTCTGGTGGATGGGGAGCTCAAGCTAGCTTGAAATACAGATTCTTATGCTTTTGCATCGGATTGGCTGGCTCCCTGATGTGGTTTCTTGGGAATCTTGAAATCTGGGCATAACAGGGATATCTAGACCACCAAACTTCAAATAAATTACTTTGTATATCAAGAAATACCTTATAGATGGGAATGCAGACTGGTATAGCCACTACAGAAAAAGTATGGAGTTTCCTCAAAATATTAAAAATAGAACTGCTATTTGACCCAGTGATCCCACTTCTAGGAATATATCCTAAGAATCCTGAAACACCAGAAAGAATATATGCACCCCTATGTTCATAACAGCACTATTTACAATAGCTAAGATCTGGAAATAGCCCAAGTGCCCATCATTAGATGAGTGGATCAAAAAGATGGGGTACATTTACACAATGGAATACTATGCAGCTATAAAATAGAAGGATTTCTTACTCTTTGAGACAGCATGGAGGGACCCATGAGATACAGAAGCATGGGATAGACTGATGAATCTCAGAGGAGGGTGTGTTGGGGTCCATCCCCAGCTGGTCCAGGGGTTCCCAAAGGTGTGGACCGAGTCGGTGAAAAAGGAAGGACACGGAGGCAGCCTTCAGTTCATCATGGTTGGGTTCTCCTCTCATTGTCCTGTTACATCTATATTTATACTATTTGATCCTATAAGCATGCCTCTATAATTACATCATGGTATGTTTTGGGTAACATTCTACAGTTCCTTGTTTCTTATCTGACCTTAGCCAAAAATCCTGTCTCTATCTAGTTCTGTTGATTTTAATCTTGTCTAGGTTAATCTGTGTTCCATTACAAGGGCTATTCCAAGGTCACTGCTCTACTGATAGGCTTCAAGGAAGTGATTGAAGATTATCCTACCCAGTAAAGGTTATGTCCTCCCAGCCCCGCTGCTTGCCTTCCCTGGGATTTCCCTGTGTTGGTGGGTCTCCAGGGGTATAGGCTTTGGTGCTTTCCCTGGTGGGCAGACCCCTGGGGATGTGGGCCCAACAAGTCCCAAATTTATTGCCAACAGTCTTAGTCCAAGTTCTTCATAAGTAGTACATGGTATTTCTGTAACACTAGGGGGTTTCACTGATTTATTCTCTTCCTTAGTCCTGTTAATTCCAGGGAAAAATCCTCACCTGGGGAAACAACCTTTCTCAGGGAGGTGGTCCTGATTAAAACACATAGCACTAAGAGGGGGAGCAAACATATGTCATATACGCCAGGTCCTTTGAAACATAAGCTGTGCAGATGTTTCTTCCCTGCAGCGACTGTGTCAAGCAGCAAGGGTGGACCGGCTTCCGGCAAGGGTGGGAGTAGAGGGTAGGGTGGGAAGAGATTAACACGTTAAAAGCCCAGTCACCAGTGACTATACAGACACTATACTTTCTGTCCGGAAGACAAAATAGGCTGGACGCTTAACGTGTTAACTAAAGAACTTATATGCATATATACACAACCCACGAACACAGACAAGAATGCGGTGAAGGCATGAGGGAGGGTCACTGGAAGGGGAGGAAGAGAGGACATTTGTAATACTTTCAAAAATAAAGATAAATTTAAAACAAAAAAAGAAATATAGTGTTTTTAGTGTAGTTTACCTATACTTTTTCAAATAATCTTCACTACAACCCTCATGACTATAGATGGCAAACCACAGGGTCATTTTTAGTTCAACTCACCGGTAAATAAAAAGGCAGACAAGAACAAAATGCTACCCTTGGGTTTAGACTCAATTAGAGAGGAATGACCTATCTTTTAGCACTAACCATCTATATTACAAAAAGCCAGTGGCCGAAATGACCAAACGACCAGTCACCAGGCGGTGCATTGATGGGTCCCTCGGTGGCGACAGGAGGGACTCTGGGTCCCACACAATTTTGAGCACTGGGCCTCTAGTCTCTTTATATTTAAATACTGCCACCTTCCCTCCTGTCCTTATGAAATGCCTCTGCTTGTGTTAAAGGACAGTTTCTCCCCTTCACTCCTGCAATTTCTTCTGAATTTTTCCTTTGACATTTTATTTGAAAAATGAAAAACACACAGAAAAAATAGGATAGTGTCAAGAACATACCATATCCATCATTAAATTCTCTCCCTCTTGAGTCTGTTATGCTGAGAGGCATTCTATCTAAAAACAAAAACACAAAAAAACTAATAACTCTCCCTTGACTCCATATCACTGCCACTCCCTTCCTTAGCAAGCTTCTTGGAAGAGTTGTCTATAGTTGTTATCCATATTTATTCAGATTATATCTCAGTATATTCCAATAGGACTTTTATCCCCACCATTCCTACACTCTTCAACATTCTTGCTGAAATCCATGCCTCCAGATCATAGTCAAGTCTCCTTTGCTAGCTCCCAT